ATTGCAGATATACTTATCACTTACAGATTGACTTTACATTGAGAACTTTCGCAGTAATACATGGAGAAAGCCCTTTTTGCAATTCTTTCATATATGTATAGGATCAATAGGTTTGCTTACTCAATAAATGTTTACTGACTCCCTACTATGTGTAAGGAGTAGGAGTTGGAAGACATATAGAAAAGAAGCAGAAATTAATTTGTCTTCAGGGAATTTATAATCTGATAGCAGTATCACAATGTGTACATAAGTAACTAAAATACACACAAACTTCTAAAGCCCCAACAGCTGGCTTTGTCCTGGGGGTTGCAGTAATGTTGATGTGGAGAATCTTTCCATACTAGGATGTGAGATCCCTGAGGGCAAGGGTTTATCCTTAACTCTCATACGTAGAACAGTACTTGGCACACAGTAAATATTTATTTAACAAATCTCACTGAATCCTCACAATCTTGTAAAAAAAAAAAAAAAGGCAGAGGAGCAGAGTGGTTACTCCATAGGTTCTAGAATAAGTCTCCTGTGTTTGGATCCTGTCTCCATTAGTTGTAGGGAAGTGATCTCAGAGAAGTTAGTGACCCTCTCCGTGACTGGGTTTCCTGCCGTGAAAAGTGGGGATAATAATAATACCTAGTTACAGTACCTAATAATATCTCAGAGTTATCCTGAGGACCATATGAAATAATTTTCATGCAAAACACTTGGACCCGTGCCTGACACACAAGAAACACTGAAATCCCCCATTTTACAGACAAAAACATGGAGGCTTAGAGATGCTTAGCAAGCCACGCCCATGCTTTTAACTGTATCACTTGTATTTCCAAAAAAGGTGGTAAAGGAAGGCAGACCAAGGTCTGTGTCAGAACATTTTCTTGTAAAGATAAGGAAGAGTTGGTTTCTGTCTAAAGATGAGAATGAAATTAATGGAGACATCCCCTCAAACAGTCTGTTCTAAAATAAGGGTAATTGGATTCTCGCCACGGGTTGCTTTTGCTGCTTCCCCTCTCAGGGAGCGGAGCCCCGCTGGGGTGGGGGAGAGGAACTCCTCGGGGCAGCCATTTCTGCACCACTCACCGGGCAGTTTATAGCACCCTCTAGACACACCATGGATAGCAGGATTACTAATCACGCTGTCTGCTGATGTAAACTCTATTTGGATACAACAATGTTTTTAAATAACCTCAAATACAATTACCACCCTGAGGATGGGGTGGTTGAATGACTAGAGAAATATCATTTAGCTACTTCATTAACTAATTACAGTGCTCCACAAACAGTGACACAAGGCAGGGGCTGTGGGGATGAGTCACACGGCTGAGCTCAGGGGCCACAGGGGGTTTCCACGGTCTCTCTGGCACCAGCATCTGGAGGCATTCCTGAGTGGCAAAGAGGGACTCCTCCCTTCCTTGCTGTCTCCTTAGCATTCATGGGAGCTAGGGAGGCCCAGAAATCTCTCCAGGCCAGAGTGACCCACAGGGCTTCAACAAGCCCTAGTCCCTTCCCTCATTGCTTGCTGTCCTTACACCCAAAGACAGACTCTCAGAGGGCTTGGACTGGGCAGGCAGGTGGCTGGTCACTCATTGAGTTAATGAATCTGTCGTCTATGTTGTCTCGAGTGCTGTGTGCAAGAATGTTCGCTAGGGGCCAACAGGGCACCTGCTTCTCCATTGCCTGGGGAGCCCCTGCTGACCCGCCAGCTGGAGGACCTTGAATTCTCACTACACAGGGGCTGGCGGCGCTATGGCTGTAGGGGGTATTAAAAATTGTTTCAAGTTGTGAAAGTGTTTGCCAAGCACCGCTTTGGACAAATCACCCTCTGAAACTTAGTTTCCTCAACTGTAAGAGGGGATAACATTGGGCTCTGTCTCAGAGAGTTGTTGGATCACGTGACAGAGAGAATGCGAAGTTTCTAGCACAGTGTTTGGCAAAAAGCCCAGGGCTCAGTCAACGTGGATGTCATGTCATCATTTGACCACATGCACAATCTTGCTGACGACACCCCACGATGGAGAGCAGATTCTGATCTCTGCTCCGCTCTCCCGGGGCACACCTTCTGTCATCATTCAGCCTCTCGACATCGGCCAGAGGACCAACTCTTCAAAATTCTCCTCCCGCACTTTGAAAATCAGTAACAGCTGCACACTGAGTCCTGAACAACAACGTTCCCCCAGCAGCTCCAGGTTCAAACTGGCAGACCACACCCCCCTTGATTTGTTTTGAATAAACATTCTTTAAGAGAAGTATAATGGAGGCTGGCTGGTGGTACTGACCCTATTTTTCTCTTCTCCTCCAAAGTGAATGCCAGACGTTTCCGGGGCCAAAGACAGGATTAACGTTTCTCAGCCTAGTAAACACACCCATCTGGACTCAGCGCAGGGAACATTAGCACTCCAACCATTTCCTGTAATCAGCTTGAACGATCCAGGCCACAAGCTTGGAAATTAAATTCTAGAAGTGATTTTTCCATCCTGGAAGCTATTTCAATTACAGCTTCTTACAGATGCACCTTGGATAAGCGGCAGACATACCAGCCCTGGCATTATGTAATGAATCTGCCCGGCGGGAAGCTTGCCATGACACTGCAGAGAGGCCGCCTGGAGGCTGAGAGCACCTCTGCTGGTCGGGGCGCCCTACCTGCTCCCAGCACCCATGGCATTCCGGGCCTCCGGCAAGACCCTGACCAACCTGGTCCCCAGTGTGAGACTTGCAGTCCAAAGCGGGAGCCACATTTTAACATCAGAGGCTGGGAACCTTGTGATGGGCAGTAAAGCCTAGCGGTGGGAAAGCGTTAGCCTGGCTTGAGGTAGAGGCTGTGCTCTCCAAGCTCAACGTCCAGTAGGTGGTGTGAAGGCCGGTGGAAGAGCAAGCCAAGACCCAGAGGGCGGAAACAGGGTGTAGGGATGTCTGTGTGGTTCAGCCCATTGGACGCCTGCCTTCCACTCAGGTCGCGATCCCAGAGTCCCTGGATCAAGTCCCACATTGGGCCCCTTGCTCACTGGGGAGCTTGCTTCTCCCTCTACCTGCCGTTCCCCCTGCTTGTGCTCTCTCTCTCTCTGACAAAAAAATAAACCTTTTAAAAAATAAAAATAAATTAATAAATAAAATTGTGTGTGTGTGTGTGTGCACACGCGCGCTCACGCACTTGGGTGTGCACATGACGCCAGGTAGCCCCCTCTTCAAGTACAAGGAGACTGGAGGGGTCTACCTGCCTTTGCCCATCACCATTGTTTTTAGCATTAGAAAGTCCTTTAGGACCTGCCCCAGGACCTTGCCTTCAAGACGTCAGATTTCTGGAGTGTGAGATTCAGAGCCTGATGGGCCCTTCTGAGAATCTCATTCTCGCAGAGGCCGGGCAGTGGAGTTTCTGAGCACCATCTCCAGAATGCAGTGGGGCGAAGTATTGGAATTCGGGTTTGGTGGGCGGCAGAATGGGGCAGTTTGGGAGGTCGTCAGACGGGTGGCAACAGGGCAATCTGAGAGCAGATGCTACTTTAGTCACTTTGCTCTGGTGTAGGGACTTGGGGACAGACAGACTGGCTCATGAGGCAGGAGCCTTGCACCTTTTTTTTTTTTTTTTTTTTTGGTATTCTACGCAATTTGGGCGAAGGCTCTTAGGAAGGGAGGGCTGAACATAGGAGACCTGGCTGCCAGCAGCTCACCCATGGGAACCCTAGTGTGGGAGTCAACAGGGAGTCAGACAGACCCACCTTCAAGTCCCAACCTTGCAGTTTCCTGTGGGACTCAAATTATTGAATTGCACCAAGTGCCAGATTCTTTGCTGTTAAAGGGGGATAACAGAGCTCCGGGTTGTCATGGGTGTGGAATGAAGTGTGAGTGGGAGGCATCGTAGGGGGTGTTTAATAATAATGGGTTCTATCCAGGTACTGCTGGATGAAAAGTTGCAGCTGGTGGCTAATGTTGAATTGTTTAGGCTACTTGGGGGACGGTGCTGCCCTTCAGTCCGGAGCCCTCCCTTAATGTCACCATGGTGACCAGTGGGATCAGCTCATCCAAAATCAGAAGGGCTTCCCCCTGCCTTTCCTGGGCTCCTGCTTCTACAGAATTCTGCGGATGATTCCAGCAGCTCCTCACCACCTTCTCCCTACAAGCCTGCCAGAAAAAGGGCACAAGCTAGAAGCAACACAATCTGGGTTTTTATTTATTATGGTGTTTTATGTATTATGCTGGCACAATAGAACTTGTTGGGCCTGAGCATTTTCACTGCCTCTCTTGGTCTCAAAATCCAAGAGGGAAAGATTTTAAATGATTCCTGAGTTTGTTTTTTATGATGGAAAAGTAATCATGCAAATTTTAAGGTTAAAAAAAACCCTCAAATAATATAGGATGCTGAAGTTAAGTTACTTTACTTCTCCTGACCCAGTTTCCTCATCTGTAAAGGAGGGATAATAGTTAAGTCCCTGCTCTCAGGGTCAATTGTGGGGACTAAATGCAGGCATATGGGAAGTGCCTGGTGCCATGGCTGGCTCAGGGCAAGCACCTGACATATGGTAATGATTATCACCCACCACTGTTCTACTTCCAGCGATGGCTTAGGGTCTCCCTCTGGAAATAGCCTATGCTTGCAAGAAAATATATTTACATATTCATGCACATGGAGATATGATATCTACTGTTCTGTGACTTGCTGTTTTCACTTAATAATCTTTGGCGTGCTTCCATATTAACGTGTATAGATTTCCCACATTCTTTTTAAATAACCAGGTAACATTTCACTGAATGAGTGTACCATTATTTCTATGACCAAAAGAGAAACATTTCAATTACAGAATTATGAACATTTATACAATTTAAACAATTATAGTATTTGTTGAGAAGTTTTATTTGAAAATACACGCAGAAAGCCATTTGAGTAATCAAAACTTTTCAACATTTACAGGTTGTTTTTTTTTTTAAGAATTTTTATTTACTTGACAGAGAGCACAAGCAGGCTGAGTAGCAGGGAGAGGCAGAAGGAGAAGCAGGCTCTCCGCTGAGCAAGGAGCCAGATGTGGGTCTCCATCCCAGGACCCTGGGATCATGACCTGAGCCGAAGGTAGTTGCCCAACCAACCAAGCCACCCAGGCGCCCTAAAACTTACAGGTCTTATAAACTTGACCCACACTGTATGACAACAGTACTGCTGAGTGACAAAATGGAGCATCACATTGAGAGCACCGTGGACCAGCCCAGACATGCCTAATAGGGCAGGTCAAAAACAGTGTAAGTTACTCTGCTTCTTCCAGATTAATTTGGAACAGAAGAGAACATGAAAGGAGGTGTAATAGTTGTTTGTTCAAGCTTTTAACTACAATGTAAAAGGACCAGTGGTTTTACTATTATTTTTCCATTTGGCTTCCTGGCACCTTGAATTCAATCAGTGTCCTGCTGTTCAGAGGTATTTTGAAGTGTGCCAAGTCTTAATTGAAGTGGAAGTGCCTGAAACCGAGTTAATACCATGAGCAACAGGGAGTCGAATTTATGGAGGTAAACTGTTGCTAGCTCTGCATTTCAACTACTTTTGGCTCCTGGGGTCAATTTACATTTTCAGAGTAGCTTGGATGGTTGAGAACTGAGCTGGACTTGGCCAGAGGTGCAGACCTTGTGATTCTGTTGGACTTTGGGTTCCTTTGGAGTATAAGCATTCTGCTAAAGGGTCCAGGGACCCCAGCTGGACAGCACCCAGCATGTGAAGCCTACTGATGACACCAGTGCGGTGCTGGGGGCTAGAGATACAATGGGCAAAAGACGAGTTGGGTCCTTGTCCTATCAGATTCTAGGTAGGGAGACAGACATAAATAAGCAAGCAGACAAAACTAAGAGAACTTATGATTGCCACCAAGAAGGAAACAAATAGGGGTGAAATAGTAACTAGGGGAATCCACTTCCCATCGGAGGTGAGGGAAAGGAGATATGGGCTGGGATTTGATAGATGCCAAGGGCCTGGCACCAGGAAGAGCTGGGAAAGACCATTCTCAGCAAAAAGGAAGAACAAGGGCAAAGGCCCCAGGGTGGGAAAGAGCTGGTTATGTTTGATGAGCTGAGAAAAGTCCAGATGACTAGATCACGGTGAGGAAGAGAAAGAAAAAACTCTACCAGTGGGCTCCGTTGTCTTGCAGGGTCTCACAGACCACAGCCAAGAGTTTGGATTTCATTCTCAATGCTGCAGAAGATTTTAAGCAAAACGGTGATGTAGTCTGATTCCCGTCTTTTCAAAAAGATCATTTGATTGCAATGTGGAGAATGCACTGAAATGGAGGTCAGTGGGGGAGGTGGAGGCCACTTGCCACTCAGGAGGGGATGGTGGTGGAGGCAGTGGCTACAGCAGTGGAAGGACAGCTTGTTTCTAAATCCGCCCCCACCAAGAAGGTCAGAGCCCACTGTAGGCTCTAGCAGACAAAGATTCTCCAAGGGTTCCCATCAACTGGTTCACAAAACATCTCTCGAGGGCGTGCCCAGCACAGGGGTTAAGACTGATGCTGTCTCACAGAGTAGACCAACTCCCCGCCCCCTGACAAATTAAATTGTAAGATGCCAGGCCTCAGGTACTGGTGACCATGAGCACTAGAGACAGGGGTGTCAGGGAAGATTTTTCCCACACCACAGACACCTGCCTTCAGGACCTTTGGCAACAATGTGAACTATATCCTGTCTATGCCACCTTTCTTTTTTCTGGCCCAGAAATCCGACTGATCCCATCTCCCACACCGACAACCATCCAGACCCCTTTTGCCCACTGTAGCTACCCCTACACAGGTCTGATTTTAAACTGGTGTTGTAACCTAAATGGCTTTTTAACATTTGGTGTGTGGGGGAGACAGATTTAAGGTCTGGTGGCCTTGCCAGGCCCCCTTGGGCTGCGGATGAATAGGAAGGCCACATTACAGGCTTGGAATGCTGCATGAATTCAGAGAAGGCAAATCTCAGGGCAAGACCTCTTGAGAGACGGGCCAGGGGCTGAGCCCCCGTTTGGAAGCTGGATCTTGGAATGCCTGATGGGGATACATCCTACAGTTTTGCGAGGTGTGGCTTTTCTCTCTGGTTGCTTTTAAGACCTTCTCCTTGTCTTTGACATTCAGCAGTTTCACTACATTGTGTTGGGATGTGGATTTCCTTTTATTTGTCATACATGGAATATATTGTCATTCTGATTGTTAAGGGCTGAATTGTGTCCCTTCCACAAAAAAACATAGTAGAAGTCCTCAGCCCCGGGTGACTGGCTTTGAAGAGAGGATTTTTAAAGAGGTGATTGAGTTATATGAGGTCATTAGGGTGGGCCGTGATATCCTTAGGAGAGAGGAGATTAGTACAGAGGTACACACAGGGAAAGACCACGTTGAAACACAGGGAAAAGCTGTCTGCAAGCCAAGGAGAGAGGTTCAGAAGAAACCAATCCTGCCAATACCTTGGTCTCAGACTTAGAGCCTCCAGAATTATGAGAAGATAAATTTCCTTAGTTTGTGTTACCTACTACATCATGTTTTAAAATGGCATTTTGGCTAGGGGAGGTCAAGAATGCCCAAATTCGATCTTTGGCTTATTACTTCTACCTAGCCCTAGTTCCCAAACTGGAGGCCACAACAGGCAGCTGGGGGGCCATAGGATCTGTGATTGCTCGCTGTAAGCCCCGGTGCAGGGAGAGGAGGTACAGGGGGCTGGCCCCCTGCTGCCCCCTTTATCCTACCTCGGCTGGGCTATGAAAGCTGCTTACAAGCTTTGAGGTCTAGTATTTATTTACCACCCCAGAGCTCAGACTGGAGTCTCAGGTTTTGCTGCTGTGCTGGGAGGAAGAGCTGGTTTCACAGAGACCTGTTGTCATCAGGGAGAGTGCTTCCAGAGCGCGGGAGCGAGAAGACCTCTAGAGCAAGGGCAGGGCTGGTGCAGCTCTGGGAGCCAAGGGAGCAGGGAGGAAAATCAGGGTAGTTAGAACGTCTCCCGGGAGGGAGCAGGCCATTCCTTTATTCCTCCTGTTACTACTGTACAGGAAGGGACCACAGGGGGATGGAGACAAGGTCCTTTTTACTCAGTTACTCTGTCACTAGGAAATGTGGTCAACCCCAGAGAAACTCCTCTTAACCTTGGAGTGGAATCCAGCACAAGGTGGGAGGAGGACAGGAAGGGAATTTGAACTCCTTCTCTCGGAGGACCATCCTTTGCACACAGGGCAGCTCCAGTCCCATATTTTGACAATTTAAATGGACACATTTAAATTGTTCTTGCGGGTCTAACAACTGTTCTTGCGGGTCTAACAACTGTTACATTTCTTGTTTTCCCTTTCCCTCAAAGAGCCTACAGTCTCCAATGATGAGGCGCTCCTCCAAATCTTGTGACCATGACGAGAATTGTCATCTTTTTTCCCCTCTGGGTCCGCCAGCCTCTGGCTGAGTCCTTAGGGACAGAGCTCCCTCTGCTGGCTCGGGAGCTGAAGCCTTCTGGATCTTGAACAAAAGCCCTTCTTGCGGTGACATCAACTTCAAATAATTGTCCTCATAATCATCTAGAAAAACCCATTTATGGTACAGTACAGTTATCTATTGTTGTAGATTAATAGTGTTACTGTGAAGTATAGCAAGGGCTGCGGAGTCAGCCTGGGGCCCTTGTGAGCAGTGACCTTTGGCGTATTTCTTAATTTCTCTGAACCTCAGTTTTCTCATCTGTAGAATGGATATAGTAGCACTTGTGTCAATGGGGTCCAGTCGGGAAAACAGAAATTACTCTGGTTGCATTCACATAGAGAACACAGGGAAATTGTAAAGCGTGTGTCAGAGGCCAGAGAGAACAGATCAGGTGTTTTGAGGTCCCAGAGAACAGCTGTGGGAAGCAGCCACCATCCCTGTGGTGGGGGGAAGAGGCTGGGATGACCAGAACTGCTTCAGGTCCCTATTATTGCTCAAGAAACCTCCCCAAAGCTTAGAGACTTACCGCTCTCGGGGTTGGCTGGTTGGCTAGGCAGATCTTCTCCTGGTCTCACCGATACTCATTCATGCTGCAGTCCTGCACTGGAAGGTAGGCTGGGACGTGTGAGTGGTAGCCTGCTCCTCCCAGCCCGACAGTCTGGAGAGAAGACATCTCAGAGCACAGATGCTCCTCCAGCCTTGGATTCCTGTATGCTTCCATTGGCCAAAGCAGATCGTCTGATCTAGCCGTGTCCCGCCCAAGGGGACCACTCCACAGCCTGGATATCAGAAGGAAGGATCCATGGGGGGGGGGTGGTCACCGGTGTAATAATCCATCACAGGAACCGAACCTACAAATTTAGAGGAAGGGTCTCCCAGCCACGTACTACCTCGGGATCTTGGAGGAGGGGTGTCCTGGAGCTGGGCACAGACGTGTGGCCCCCCACCCTCCTTATGCCCCACCCCACCTCCCGCCTCTCCCCCCACGTCCCCCACCCTGCCCATGCCCCCTGGCTGTGCCAGGAATGAGGAAAGAAGTTGGAAACTGAAACCATCTGCTGCTCCAGGGGAAGCAGTAAACAGATTTAAGAAGGGACAAGTCTCTTCCTTCACCTTCCAAACTTCCTCTGACAAAGGAGACTTGTGGCTTGCGGATTCCCAGCCTGGCGTCCCGGAGCACAGGGTAGGATGGTGGGAGCTGAGACTTGGATGGAATGCTTCACACTTTTTTAATTTTTTTAAGATTTTATTTATTTATTTGACAGACAGAGATCACAAGTAGGCAGAGAGGCAGGCAGAGAGAGAGAGGAAGGAAAGCAGGCTCCCTGCTGAGCAGAGAGCTAGATGCGGGGCTCGATGCAGTCTCGATCCCAGGACCCTGGGATCATGACCTGAGCCGAAGGCAGAGGCTTTAACCCACTGAGCCACCCAGGCGCCCAATGCTTCACAGTCTTGCAGGTGTGTTGATGACTAATGGTGTGTGCACAGAGCTCAGCCCAGGTGGAACATTTAATAAGGGATAACGACTGATATTATTAACTTTTTTTTTAAAGATTCTATTTTTAATTTCTAAAATTTATTTATTTATTTGACATAAAGATACAGAGACAGACAGCACAAGTAGAGCAGCAGGCAGAGGAAGAGGGAGAAGCAGGCTCCCCGCTGAGCTGGGAGCCTGATGCCGGGCTTGATCCCAGCACCCTGGGATCTGACCCGAGTAGCCACTTAACCGACTGAGCAACCCAGGCAGCCCTATGATTTTATTTTTAAGTGATTTCTACACCCAACACGGGGCTCAAACCCACAACCCTGAGATCAAGAGTAGTGTGCTCCACGGGCTGAGCCAGCCAGGCACCTATATTATTAACTCTTTTTTTAAATCTTTCCTAAGCACAATGGCACTGAACTCTTCACTTACTAGATACCGCACCATGGCATAACATACGGAGGTAACTGAGGCTTTATTCTATGCTGACATCTTCTCACTGCCCTGTTGCCCTCATCCATAAAGATAGTAACATTTCTCATCTCACCGGGGAGAATGTCAGGGTCTGCCACAGAAGGCCTAGAAGGTCCTAGAAGTTCACAGGGCTTCTGAGTGGATTTTTCAAACATTTAACTAAAACGGTGGCCTTGAAAGCCACCACCTTTCCATCACAAGATCTGGGTTTATTCAGAGAGTAAAGGTTTCTTGAGGTCTCAGAGACCTGGGGCCTAGAGAGCTCAGAGCACAGCGCTCATACCAAAGGTGCAGAGAGGGAAGCAAGGTAGGAGATCCCACCTGGGAGGAGAGAACAGTGACCAACTAGCAGAAAGAATCAGAGGGGCTTGACCGGATCTGGTGTGTTGGGCCAGAGAGAGGGTCCCACACTCTGATCCTTACAGGACTTCCATGGGTGACATAAATTGCTGGGGGAGCACCAAAAAAGAGGGGAAGGAGCTGTGCATTCTGTCTCAAAGAGCCATGTCCAGGCTTGTCGATATCCAGCAGGGCATGGACAACACACCAAAAGTAGAGAATTGAAAAGAATTGAATCAGGATCTATTTCCAAAAGTGTGGGCAGGACTTAGTAACGGCAATAAGAAGTCGGTACAGGATCCTGCTACTAATAATAGCTGGGAGCTATTAATTACCACTTTTAGGCGTGACAGAGCAAGAGGAAGGACCAGTTCCTAGAACCTGTGAGCTGTGTGTTGACGGCTGCCAGGCAAGTTCTGATGTGGGGCCTACAGCCAGCCCATTGCAGTGGCCCAGCAGGTGGGAAGTTTGGGGAATAAGTGAGATTCTTTCTCTTTTCCCTTTCCTGCCAGTACAAGGGGTTGCCAGATTACATAAGAAATACTTCTGCTAAAAAAAAAATTAAATTGCTTATCTAAAATTCAAATTTAACGGGGGCTTCCTGTATTTTATCTGGCAAGCCTAGCTGGTATCCCCTTTGGCTAAACCCAGACAGAAGCCAGAGCCCAGGACATCCTATTGATGCAGCCCCAAAGGTCCCCTTAGGTTTTATCCTATAGGCAATGGAAGTAACTAAAGATTTTCAGGAAAAGGACAAATATTTTATTAAATCATTCTTTATTTAATATTTGTAGTGATACCATACATGATAGCATAAAATGTATTATTACAGGAAGAATGAATAAATTGCAGTGGGCACACAAGGAAATATTGTACAGCAGCGAAAAATCAACTATAGCCACATACAACAACATGGGGTTTTTGTTTTTTTCATCAGTTTCAATTTATTGATTTTTTTTGTATAGATTTCTTAAATAGCAATATTATTAAAAGTCAAAGCATATTAACTTTATGTACGGTGCCTATCTTAATTAATTTTAATGACAGCGTGGTGCCTGGGTGGCTCAGTGGGTTAAAGCCTCTGCCTTCGGCTCAGGTCATGGTCCCAGAGACCTGGGATCGAGCCCCGCATCGGGCTCTCTGCTCAACGGGGAGCCTGCTTCCTCCTCTCTCTCTACCTGTGATCTCTATCAGTCAAATAAATAGATAAAATCTTTAAAAAAAAAAAGTTTAATGACAGCATGTTTAAGATGACTACTGTATTGTACACCTGAAGCTAATATAACACCAGTTAACTATGCTGGAATTAAGATTTCTTTTTTTAAGGATTTAATTTATTTATTTGACAGACAGATCACAAGTAGGCAGAGAGGCAGGCAGAGAGAGAAGAGGAAGGAGGCTCCCCACTGAGCAGAGAGCCCGATGCGGGGCTCGATCCCAGGACCCTGGGATCATGACCAGAGCTGAAGGCAGAGGCTTAACCCACTGAGCCACCCAGGCGCCCCTGGAATTAAAATTTTAAACATAATAAGTAAAAGATAGCTACTATATTGCAGAATTATTCTCAATCCCTATGTATCATTAATATATTTAAGTTGGCAATTTTGTGTTACCATATAGTTTCTTTTCAGTAGAACAATTTTCTTTTGCTTTTTCTTTTTTTAAAGATTTTATTTATTTGAGAGAGAGAGTGAGAGAGAACACGAGAGGGAAGAAGGTCAGAGGGACACACAGACTCCCCTGGAGCTGGGAGCCCGATGCGTGTCCCCAGGATCATGACCTGAGCCGAAAGCAGTTGCTTAACCAACTGAGCCACCAAGGCACCCTAGAATAATTTTTTTTTTTTTTTTTTTTTTTTTACCTGACTGCCTCCTGTTCATTTTTTAGCACATTTTTATGAGGGTATAATTTAGTCCTGTAACTATCACAAAATCCAGTTATAGAACAATTCAATCACACCTCAAAATCTCCCTATACCCTTTTGGGGTCAACTCCTCCACTAGCCCTTCTCAGCCTGTGGAAATCACTGATCTGCTTCCCATTCCTACAGCTTTGCCCTTTTCAGAATTTCATACAAATGGAGTCACACAGCATGTAGCCTTTTGAACCAGGTCTATTTCATTTAGCATGATGCCGGAGGTTCATTCCTATTGTTGCCTGCCTAGCTAATTCCTTTTCCTAAGCGTTTTTTCCATTGCATGAGGTACCAGTTTGTGTATCCATTCCAAAGTTTAAGGACACTTGGGATGTGTATTGGTCAGGGCTCTCCAGAGAAATAAATTCCATAGGATGCATATACACAAATATACATATACAAGCATACATACGTCTATATCTATCTGTATCTCTATCACCTGTATCAGTACCTGTCTCTATCTAGCACAAGAAAGAATTCATTTCAAGGAATGTGATCGGAGGAGAGGAATGCTGGTTAAATCCAAAAATCTGTAGGGTTGACCAGCAAGCTAGGGACTCAGGCAGGAGTTCTATGTTACAGCTTCAAGGTAGAAGGGCTTCTTTAGGAAACCTGTTTTTGCTCTTAAGGCCTTCAACTAATTTGAGGAGGCCCATCCACATTATTGAGAGTAACCATTACGTAGAGCCAATGGACTGTAAATGTCAATCACAAGTGCAAATACCCCCACGGCAACATCTGGGCTAACGTTGGACCAGACAGCTGGGTACCACAGTCTAGTCAAGTTGACACATAAAATTAACTATTACAGGATATTTCTCATTTTGGTGAATGTGAATAAAGTTGCTCTAAACATTTCCATATGGGTTTTGTGTGGATACAAGTTTTCATTTCAACTGGGTAACTAACTCGGAGTAGGATACCTAGCATTTTTGCATTTCCATCAGCAACATGTGAGAGTTCTAGCTGCCTGCTTGGAATTGTCAGATCTTTTTTTAAATTTTAGCCAAGGTATGAAGTATGAAGGAGTGAAAAAAGCAAGAGTACATATGGCCTTACATACTTTTCCATAGTTATAAGAAAAACTAAATTATTTATATATATATATATATACACATACACACACACACATATATGTACACACACATATAATTCTAATTCTAATTAGAAAATAATGGTAAACTCCAACTTAAGGATAGGACTTCTGTCTGTGGGGAGAAGGTAGAGGAATAAGAAATAAAAGAATCCTATAAGTCCATGTTATTATTAATGTAATGGTTCCCAGGTTAGCTGACAAGATCATGATTGTTCATTATTTCTTTTTTTTTTTTTTTTTTTTCTTTTTTCAGACTGGGAGAGAGAGCACGTCAGTGCCTGAGCAGGGGGGAGGGAGGGGCAGAGGGAAAGGGAGAGAGAGAATCTTAAGCAGGCTCCATGCCACGTGGAGCCCGATGCAGGGCTTATTCTCATAACCCTGAGACCACGACCTGAGTTGAAATCGAGTCAGACACTTCACTGACTAAGTCACCTAGGCGCTCCCCGCTGTTCATTACTTCATTAAAACATGAATACATTTTAAAAGGGCCACACGTGGGGACGCCTGGGTGGCTCAGTTGGTTGGGCAGCTGCCTTCGGCTCGGGTCATGATCCCAGCGTCCTGGGATCGAGTCCCACATCGGGCTCCTTGCTCGGCGGGGAGCCTGCTTCTCCCTCTGCCTCTGCCTGCCATTCTGTCTGCCTGTGCTCGCTCTCTCTCCCTCTCTCTCTGACAAATAAATAAAATCTTAAAAAAAAAAAAAAATAAATAAATAAATAAATAAATAAAAGGGCCACACGTGGACAAATGATGACAGTGCGCTGAAAACCAAGAATTGTGATAAATCCAGTTCTGTTTACTTGAAGTCCCATTAAAAAAAAAGAGAAAGAAAGATTAGGGGCAGAATGGGTAGTGGATTAGAAGCAGGAGAGAGTAATGGCATGAAGGACCGGGAAGGAAAGCTATTCCTACAATCAGTGGAAATTATAGACCAAAGGCTTGGTGGGGGGAGTGTAAATGACAAATCAGAGGGGAAATGGGATGGACAGGGACTGTGGGATCAAAGAATATAGGGAGTAAGAGAGAGAGTAAAGTATATGGTCAGTGTTTCTGGCTTGCAGGAATGATGTCATTCACCAAGACAAAGATGTCAGAATGGAATTTTGAGGAGGGTGAAGAGCCCATGAAATTATTCAGAATTCAAGCAGGGAGCTCAGGAAATGGAGAGAGACACTTGGGAATAATTTGTATATAAAAGCCAAATGTGTTACATGTTATTTCATTGACTTTTTACAGCAATCCTGTGAGCTATTTTATACATATTTGACAGAGGAGAAACAGAGGCACCAAAGGAACATTGAGTGGAGTTAAGGGCCCTGTAGAGATCAGAAACTGTAAATCTGTAATGGTGACCATTGACAAGGTTATCCACTTTTTCTCTGGCAATCCTTGACAGCCAGTGAAAAGGAGCAAATAGAAGAAGCTAAGGTTAGGGGTTTGGGGTGAAGGACAGGGGGGTGAGGAGTGAGGGCAGTCTCCTGACTGATGACCCTGTTGAGCAGGACCCTGGGCTTGCCCACTCTGAGACCAGAGAGTCCAAGGATGACATGGCGGGGGGGGGACGTCGAGACCTCTGGAGGACTAACAGATTCCTGGTCCTCAAAGTCACAGACCACAGATTTGAGGACTTCTTCCTTTTCATGTAGGTCATAGGCTTGTGATTTTTCTAACTTGATTCTAGATGATTTTACACACTGCAGCCTCTGATAACAGTAGGGGCTGAGATTGCTGTACTTATTTATTTGACAGAGAGAGAGAGAGAGAGCGCGCACAAGCAGGGGAAGTGGTAGACAGAGGGAAAGGGAGAAGCAGGCTCCCTGCTTGGCTTGAGCTCAGTACCCTAGGATCATGACCTGAGCCAAAGGCATCAGATGCTCAACCAACTGAGCCACCTAGGCGCCCCCACACAACTTTTTAAGGAGATGGTAAATGTCTTATTTTCTGTTCATTGGGTTTTCTGTGTACTTACTATTAACGTATCCCCAAATACTCCCTCACTTGTTTGTTCTCCTTCCAATAAGATCGAACAAATTAGGTGTTCATCACATTTCATATTCTTGAAGAAATCTCTGAGCCTTTTAAGCGATTGTGGTAAAATAAAACTCACCATTTGAGCCATTTTTAAGTGTACAGTTTAGTGGCATGAAATGCATTCATATCATGGTGCAACCATCATCGCCATCTGTCTCCAGAACTTTTTCATCGTCCTACACTGAAACTCTACCCATTAAACAGTAAACAGAAACTTCCAATTCCCTTTTCCCCACCCTGGCAACCACTATGTTACTCTCTATCCTTCTGAATGTAAATGGAATCATACAATATTTGTCCTTTGTGACTGGCTTATTCTACTTAGGATGACATCTTTGAGGTTCCTCCATGTTGTAGCATGTGTCAAAATTCCTTCCTTCCGGGGGCGCCGGGGTGGTTCAGTCGGTTAAGCATCTGCCTTTAGCTCACTCAGGTCATGATCTGGGAGTCCCGGGGTTGGGGGGGGGAGGGATCAAGTCCCACATCAGGCTCCCTGCTCAGCAGGAAGTCTGCTTCTCCCTCTTTCTCTACTCTTCCCTGCCTCTCTCTCGATCTCTCTCAAATAAATTTAAAATCTTTAAAAAAAAATACCGTATTAAGGCCAAATAATGTTCCATTTTATGCAGATACCACATTTAGTTTATCCAACCAACCATCCCATACTTTTTTACATAACAACACCTGCACTGCTCAACATTCCCATCAACAGAGCACAAGGGTTCTCTGCATTGCTGTCAATTTTTTTTTCATTTTTTATTATTATTTTTTTATAAACATATAATGTATTTGTATCCCCAGGGCTGTCAATTCTTTTTATTTTCTATTTTTGTTTTCTGACAGTAGCCATCCCAAGCTGTTTCAGATAACTTTTCCTTTTGATTATTCTATATCAATTTTTTTTGTTTTTTTAGATAGTTCCTCCTCCTCTGACTTCTCTTGATAGGTTAGTGTCTTCCCATGCTCTCAGCCCCCGTATCTTCTCCACCCTCCCCATGTGATGCTTTCCCTCATACTGAGACGTCCAGATGACAATGACTCCTGAAAACTGATTCCTCCCAAAGCCAGTCTGAGCCTCTGCAGGAGCTCCTGATGTCTATATCCATATGTTCATCAAGCAGCTTTAAATACGTGCCCCAGGGCGCCTGGGTGGCTCAGTTGGTTGAGCAACTGCCTTCAGCTCAGGTCATGATCCTGGAGTCCTGGGATCGAGTCCCACATTGGGCTCCCTGCTCAGCAGGGAGTCTGCTTCTCCTGCTGACCTCTCTACTCTCATGCTCTCAAATAAATAAATAAAATCTTAAAAAAAAAAAAAATACATGCCCCATCAGCAGATGCAAAACCAAACTTAATTTTCCCTGAAACCTGTTCTTCCTCTTGTACTTCCTGACTCAGTGAAGGGCTCCACCATGTGCACAGACTGCCAAGCCATTAACATGGGAATTCTCTTGTTTTCCCTCTCTCCCACTCTTCTGCTTCCTGGGTATCTTAGATCCATAACCTTCTGTCTTTTCTCATTGTTACTGTCGAAATTCACTCAATCTATACCCCCTTATCTCTTGCCTGGACTATGGAAATTATGTCCCAGGAGCTCTCTCAGCCTGAAATCTCTCATCCCTATAATGATCTACATGTCTGCTTGAGGAGTTTTGCTATAGTACGGATCTGATCTGATTCCTCTGCTTAAAAGCTCTGCATACACATGAAGGATTAAGGACCAAGAACAAGGACACGTCTGAAGATGTGACTAATGCCACCAGGATTAGAACTTATCCTTTTGGCTAAGATCAAGTGTAGAACTTATTAGGAGGATCTATTTTTGTCATGGCACAGGCATAGACAAGTTGGCCAATGGAATAAGAGAGCCCAGAAACAAACCTGGGCAGAAAGGAAACTCTGGTGGCCAAGAAGGTGCCCAGCTGAGATGGCCCTGCAAGAGAAGCTGCTGCAAGGAGTGTAGTTGGTGGATGGCCTCCAGGTCTCCTCCGGGACAGAAGACAGCAACTTCATCCCCGCGCGGCATTCACGCAGGCGCCATCCTGCCATCTCCCAGGGCTTTCAGCCTGTCACTGAGATGGTGGAATTACTGGGGCTGGGCCATTTCTGCTCTACACGGAGTTTTTCTAAGGGGCACTCTTTGCCCTGGGGCACCTCAATGGCCTAGCCAAGACTTTGAGTCACACAATGTCTGAGGCAATTGCTAGCTAATCCTTCCTTCCTTCCTTCTTTCCTTTGACAAGTCTCCCACCTCTGCTGTGGGAGTCCTGGCCTACTCCAGTTCTCTCCTCCTTCCATCCTTCACAGGTTTCCCTTGGGGAATTTCTTGCACATCAAATCCCATTTTGGTGTCTTCTTAGAGGACCCAAACTGCACAATGACAGAGGGAGCATATCCCATCAACTGGGGGCAGGGGAGAGCTGTTTAGTAATTGCAGTTAAAAAATAATGGTTGGGGGTGGGGGGATGGGTGAGCTCAGTGATGGGTATTAAGGAGGGCACCGACTGCAAGGAGCACTGGGTGTTCTACATAAACAATGAATCATGGAACGCTGCACCAAAAACGAATGATGTACTGTATGGTGACTAACATACATACATACAGACATACATAAAATGGTTATCTGGCCATCTGGGTGGCTCAGTCAGTTAAGAATCTGCCTTCTGCTCATGGAAATATTTGGAAAAATATTTGACATTATCTTTTAAAATTGAATATTCACATATCCTGTGACCCAATAATTCTACTTTAGGTACAAACCCAAACAGACCAAAGAAAGTTACCTATGTAGTGGGAGATACACAAAAGTATGTTCATAGCAGCACCATTCATAATAGTAAAAACCCAGAAGTAGTCCAAATATCTATCAATGAAAAATCAGACAAAGTGTGGTTTATTCACACACTGGAAATCACACAATAGTGAAAATGAATAAGTCAGATACATAAAATATGGCTGCATCTTAAATTAGGTGAGAAAAATTTCAAAAGGATACAGAAGCACATTTATTCCTTTATAAGAGACTTTTTTTTTTTTTTAAAGATTTTACTAATTTAGGGGCGTCTGGGTGGCTCAGTGGGTTAAAGCCTCTGCCTTTGGCTCAGGTCATGATCCCAGGGTTCTGGGATAGAGCCCAGCACTGGGGCCTCTCTGTCCAGCAGGGAGCCTGCTTCCCTTCCTCTCTCTCTGCCTAATTGTGATCTCTGTCTGTCAAATAAATAAATAAAATCTAAAAAAAAAAAAAAAAGATTTTATTA